TATTTTATAAGCAGTATAGATAATATGTAAAAACAATAAAATGTTTAAAACATTTAAAACAAATGTTAGAATAAATACGAATTACTTTTTGGGAATAAGCTTGAAAGTTTTCTAAAAATATGCATTGAATTCAATTAAAACGTTGGATTCAAACATGTTAAAATAGATTATTCTGATGATATTGTAGTCATATGAAAAAATGTCTACACTTTTACCATAGTGACAAAGGGAACAATTAAAAAAAAAAAAAACTGTTATAAATGACCATTTAACATTTTTATCGTTTAACATTTTTTAACTTTTAATTTTTTGACAACCATTTTTCTTTTACTTTTTAGTTGCTATTTAAAAAGTACCATTGTATGTTATGGTTATGAAATAATATTCTTAAATTGATAAGTAAAATTCATCAGTCTATGCTTTTAAACGAAAAATGAGGTATCAAAAAAACTTTGTCTTTAATAAAAATTTAAAAATAAGAAAGATAAATTGCATCATAATTTTAAGCTCGTTTGAAATAAAATGAAAACCCACAAGAGTAGGGTATACAAAATTTCATTTATGTCCAATTATTATTAATTATTTCTCATATTAAATTACCTAAATCCAGTAGCGTAATTGAGAACGTCTTACGTAGGTAGGTGGAATATGGAAATTATCTTTCGGGGCAAACCCGTAGGGCGTTTCGCCTTTACATCTCCTGGATGCTTTTAATAACACAATACTCACATGAATATAATTAATTTTTATCTCTTATACTTAGTTATTCCTATTATAAAAACGAAATTATAACTTAAAAAAAATCATTAACTTCTTGGTATGTTAATTATTCCGAAAATATACATATTATCTGTGAACTAAAAAATAATTATTATTCATTTTTAGTATTTTATAAATATCAAATAATTCTATCATCCCATATTATTACACACCGATTTCAATTTTTACAATAACGCTTTGGATTCTTAGTTGAGTCAAGAATTTATAGGAGATTTACAATGATATTTTTTTCCAAGGACTAAATGTTCGTAATTGTTAGTAAATCAATTCTAAAGTATACACGTAACAAACTTTTTCAGTGAAGAGTTAGATTCTCAAGGTTTTTGAAAATATAATTTTATTACTTAATCAATAATTTTCCTATGTACTCAAAAACAAATTCAAAAAAATTGAAATTACAATGAAATAATGTTAAATTTAATTCTTCAACTACTTACGTTTTTTTTAATTAAATAATATGTCTTAGTAGTTTTTATTTTTTGTATTAAAAAGATGTACAGTTTAAAATACGTCAAAATCATTTGTTTTTGTTAATAATTATACTTTTCAAGTAAGTTTTCGTATTGAAGTTGTACTTGATTTGATTTTTATATATTTAAATAATTGAATAGGTCATGTTGATAATATTTTTTAATAACTCATTCATCATGAATATTGCGATTAAAATTAAATATGAAAATTGTTAATTTTACTTTATTGAAAACAAATTATTTTTAAAAGAAATTTCACTTATTATACCTGGCAGATGCTATAATATTTCTTTGAATAATTTTATAATAAGACACTATTTGTTAATATTGTCAACAATAAAATGCATACAATTCAATATCGTGACAGTTGATTTTCAATTGACACTTAGCCAAAATATAATTGTAAATCATGTTATAGTTGTGTGTCGAAATAATATCATGGACGGAGACGCATCGTACTTAATATTTGAAACTGAAGCAATCGACCAACTTCATAAATATTGCACAAACCGAGGAATTGAAATTTACATTTTTATTAAAATACTTGAGTCCGCATGAGCTGACGGTTAAATCGTCTGCATGTAAAATCCGCGTACCTAACTATACAGCACTATTATAAAAACTTCTATGCAATTTAAATGAGGTCACATAAGTATGACAATTTATTTTCGGAATGGATGTATAGATAAAAAGTGTGAAAAAAAACATTAGTATTATTTACATATTTTAAACGAGTGATTTTGAATTATAAAAAAAATTATGTATTCAAGTACAATTGTATTTTTTCTAAAACCCCCATATAATTAAGTCAGAATCAACAGAATCGTAATTATCGTAATACAGTGTAAGCAGCAATCTTATTTTAATAGAATTTAAATTTTATCAAGTACATTAAATAATTATAATATTTTTAATTGGTGTGACTGGTACACCTCATCCGTACTCGTTTCAAATAAAAGTACAAACGTGCGATTTTCAGTTGAATTATAATAGACAAATAATGAAAACGTTTAAATATTTCCGAACAGTTATTATATTTGTTATAATAGTAGTTTCTAGTCCATTCTACAATCGTTAATTTTGATTTTCGAGTTATTATTATATAACTTGGCTATAATAAAATCTTTACGATTTAATTTATCAACATTTTTGAACGTTTTGATTATTTATAATCAAACAAATTCGTAAATATTTCTATTGATTATATGATCTGATGACTGATCGTAAAATAACAGTTGAACTGTCATACTGATTTTAAAATGAAATAGTAAAAATAAAGAAATGTCGGTGTATTGTCATCGTGCCAGCTATTATAATACGATACTATTACGATTCAATATAGAATTAAACCATCAAACCGTATTCGACGTCCCATTGAAAACAAATCCGATTTATTCGGGTCCAATATAATTCCGTCAAACTCGTTGGGATCTTTTCGCGCAGCTTAAGTACGCACCGAAAGAAATTATTAGGGTTGGTGTTGTTCAACTTTTGAAATCCACTTGTTCATTTAACGTGCATACGTAGATAATATTTTACCCCGTCGCTTATCCTAAGCACATCTTACAGCAGAACGCGCGCGCGTGGCACATAGGTGTACATACATTCGTGTATAGACACATTTCGTTTCGTTCGCAAACGAAATGTGCGCTTAACAGGATTTTATTGTTTTTCAGAAAATCGTGACAAAACGAATCGCATGCCTATTTTTTTTCTCATCGGATAGATTTTATTTTTTATTTTTATTCTTCTTTTGCCGACTTCCCACGCATAACGCAGGCACGTTTTGAGGAATAACTGAACGCTACCGGTCGAGCGGAACGGGCGAGGGGGTGTAGGGGATGATGAGGATAAATGATGGAGACGACCGAGTGCGACGGAAAAAACGATGGGTGTGGTTGCAGCTGCTGAACACCGGGTCTGAGGTGCCGTTTTCCGTTGTACTTGTACGACGACGAGACGCGTGCGAGAACGATCAAGTCGCGCGAGTAACATCACCACGTACAAGTACAGCCCCAGACGGGCATTGCACCGGCGACGCAGCAGTGAATATTTATACGATTCGACGTACACGTCGATCATATCGAGCAACCGTATACGATACACGCGTGTACGTTGGCGCGGAACTAGGGGGCGGAAGACGGGAATTCTTCCCCGGGCGTAACATTTTAGATGGTGTGATTTCCGTAATCATTAACAAGTAATTTGATATTTTTAACTTTGTTGAACACCGATATCAGGTTAAAACTCAACGAGTTTCGATTGTATATAAATTGTTAGAAAAAAATTCTCGACAAGAATGTATTTGACGCGGATCGGTCTATGACAGGGCGTAGTCTTCCCCCGTTTTCCCCGGGCGTAAAAATTCCTAGTTCCGCCTCTGCGTGCGCGTACTCGTTCGCGTAAACCTCGGCGTGTTAAATGCGCACACATAACAACTCACTGTAAACATCCGTCTGGCCACCAACGGACCGAACGCGCTCCGGTGCATAACGTTAATTAATAATCTAATACCGGAGGTGTGTTGTGTTTGCAAAATAGTGCGCATTACAATAACGCGTTCTCGACGCGAAACGTAATATCGTGTGCACAAGTAGACTACACGTGCAGGTCGGCCGGTTCACGAGAAGTCGTCGGACATCGCGTTTCGCTACACATTTTATAAATTCGTTTTTTTACCGTGCGAACGTTCGACGTCCGTCACCGGACTGCTCGTTTTAAACGCGCAATTGTTTCACGTCGTTTTATACGCATACTCGTTCGTTATAAGATGAGGGACGTACATTTATTTCATCAATTTTGAAATCGAATTTTTTTTATGGAAAATCTGCGCACCGATTAAATATTACGATTTGTTTTCCACGATTTTTGTGTAAAAATCCTAAATCAACGACGTTTACACAAACCGTTACCCTTGTTTCCATTACAACGGGTTTCGTAAACGTCAAGTTTGTTTCTTATCAAAAATCATAGTTACTAAATTCAGTATTATTGTAAGTTATAGTTCATTTTACTGTAGTGTTTCAGTAGCGCGAGGGTCGAAAAAGTAGATCTACAATGGAGTTATTATCGTCATGGATATTTATTTATTTATTTATTTATTTTTTTGCATCCCTTTTGGGTACAAAAACAAACGCGATTTTTATTATTTACGAACGAATCAAGTCGTATCTAGAAGCGAAACTCGTACAAATGGGCTTGTAGGGCTTGTGACGTATGTAATTCGATCGAATACGCCTGCGAATACACGAGTCCATCTCAACGTGTACCGTACAACGTAATGCGCGTAGCCGGCCGGACCGTATGTTATTATACGCGCACGCACGGGTTTCGTGACGATTTTCGACGGTTCAACGATACTTTTAGGGTTGAAAGCTAGACGGGTGAAATCAATGACTCGCGTACGCCACGTGGTAACTCGATCTAAAACCGATACGGAAGGTAACTCGTGGCTTTTTCCACGGCGCAAAACGGGTTACGGCCATAATAAATTATGTTTTACGATAATTGTTTCCTGACAACGTGTAATAATAATTGTCTAATGACTTTATTACAGCCGACGACGTATAAATTGCATATTTATCTTATACGTATCTACCGGTCACCGCTGCAGTGCACTACGCAGTAGTTAGATACTAGTTTTGAGTTTAGCTGCAATTTCAAAACGTTCGACACTTTATGTAATACGCAACAACTCTGCACGCTCTAACGGGTTACTCGTACACTTCGGTAGAACTTGTAATCGATCGCGTCAATGCAGTTGCTTGTACAACACGTGAATTGTGCGCGCGTGTATTAGTTGCCGATTGATATTTATTACTAACATTCTTACGTTCGGTAACGTACGTGATTGCTATTTGTCATGTTCAATGCAAATCGAATTATTGCGTTTTTATTGTTGGTCTTCGACGCGTTCGCAAGTCGTTCGGTTCTCGGCGGTGTGCGCGTACTCGCCGATGAGTTTTTGGCAGAAAACAACGCGCGCGCGCGAACTTTTTTGATTCAATAATATAGATTTCCGTGATTTACCGCCTTCTATGCGAATAAACTGTTGATTAACAATCAACGTCCTGTATACTTCGGTAATTATATTCACGAGCTCTCTCCGTTCAGCCGATTTTCGTTTACAATGTCAATAGGCTTCACTTATTATAACATTTATGTAGATTTTCAGTCGGTGGTCCGTTCGTTTGCGCTGCACCGAAACATTGCTACAGAAATGGATACCGCGACTGCAGTTCGAACGGTATTCGTTACATTGCGTAATGCGCAAACAATTCGATATATCCGCGCGATAATAACAATGTGACAGTAGGTACACTTTCCCTCGATGAAAATCCGGCAGCTTGCTGTGGGCCAACGGGATTAACACGATATAAGACCGGTACGAAAAAAAAGAGGTAAGATTAATACAAGAAAAGCGCCTGAATTTTCGGTAGGAAGGTATGCCGATCGCGTTCAAGTACACGGAATTGCCTTCCAATCAAGCCGAACCCGACCGGTTGAAAACTCGGCGAGATACGTACCTTTGGGTTTCAAAACGAACAGATATACACGTGACGTTATTGAGGCACAAGCACCGCCGACCAGATATTATTTCTTGCTCGGCACTTACCGCGACGTTTCACAAAGGAAATGTGATTGTAAGCCCGCGCGTGTATTATACGCACAACACGTCCTTCGTGCAAACGGTATTTAGATGTGGAGACCACGAGAACCACTTAACCTTATTGGCGTACGATAATATTGTATTAATTGTCGTACGATATCTTCAACCCGTCAACGAGTGCCACTTCGTTCGAGAAGAATGTTAGTGTGTACGAGCGGCATCTGTCAAATCCGTTCCGAATGTCACCAGGTACTCGAGCACACGGGGGACAAATAATACTGCTCAGACAGGACTATACGTTTACGGCGAGCGGCGAGCAAACTCGAACTTGTTGCGTTTTTCCGTTCAAGTGTACATCTATCGATGTACAAGCATAACATTTATTAACAAATATCACTCACGCAATAAACGTATTTCACTTGTCGCGGTTTAGCAGCCGTACAATCGTTTTTATCGTGTTCTTTACGTACGGATCGAATTCTTAGTTGGATTACACTAACTTATATCGTTTTCAGATTCAAATTATTGCTCAACTGCATTGCACTGCAGTTTTTTTTTTCAACCTAACACAATTATTTATATTGATTATTTTCAGTCCCCGTATTTGCATACGACAAATAAATTATAAACTTCGTTGTTGGTTGTTGTGTATCAAAGCGTGGAGTTTTCCCAAGGCTATGTACCACGCTCAGTAATATCTGAGAATAATGTTTTTGGCCATTCCATTGCATTTTGTAATTAAGCATATCACATGACCTAATTCATTAAACGCCATTTGACGAATGCAGTTACTGTAATGTACTCGTACGATTCAACGGTATCTATGTAAATGTATTAAATTTACCGAGAAATATAAAATTATTTAATTTTATTTTCATTTATAGACTACTTATTATCATCCCGGCTGTAAGACGAGATCACGGGCATGGGCGTATTTCCTGTTCTTTATTTCCCAAGGTAAACATTCTGAGCAAAATATGATACTTATTGTGTCAAATTACTTTAAGTTAGAAAAAAAAATCAATGACACCTAAAATATACATGTATTTTTTTTTTTTTTTTTTTTGTAAGAAAAAGTGAATAAAAAGAATCCTAACAGGTACCGTTGTTATCTTATTTTAATCCAGAATCTCAGCTACCGCTGTGTAAAATAAATAATAATTGTACAATGTCAAGTCTCGAAATAGACAGCGAAACAATACAGCCTTGGTTTTAGTTTTTAATGCAACGTTCTTTTACACATTTTGCAATTAACGAACGACTTACTTTAGAACAAAATGCATTACAGTGATTAACGGTTTGTAAAATATGAATTAAAAATAATAAAAAAAAAACTCCGAAGGATTTTGTCGTTTTTAAATATTTTTAATCGCTCGTAACCGAATACCGACACAAATCTCTATTCTCAAGGTGCAAAATCGTAGTTTTATTTCCACCGTTTTATAAAACAACTGCAGATGCAGACTACAGCGCGCTGTTTGTTCAAATGTGTTGTCTAGTTTCAACACATTCCCCTGCACCGCACATTCGAGTTTAATTTATAGCGCAAGTGTGCAATCTACACACGCGTGCGTGGCATAATATATCAAGTTGATAATCATCGTAATCGCTCTACAACTGCACCGGTCGCATACGTGTACGTTGTACTGGCCGTTGGCAAAGGAAACGTTTTCTACGTACGTCTGTGGCGGTGGGAAACGATTCATTTTTTTCCCCCACACCGTACGCGGTCGCGGTTTATTGAATTCGCATAAATAATAATAATAATAATAATAATAATAATAATAATAAAATAATAATAATACGCGGATTATAATCGACCGTTATCAATAGTTCGTTGCAGTGACGCGACCAGGATTGGTTTTCGGAGGGGGTTGTGATTTTGGAAAAAATAAGCATTTTCTGCAGGTGTTTGGTGGGGATAAGGATTTAAGATTAAGTTAGGTTTATGAATAAAATATTTAAATTACAAATTAAACCGTTTAACTTCTATTTCGTATTGTGATAGCACAAAGAAAAAGTGTTAAACAATCGACTATCGAGTAATCGTAGTACCAAGGTTATCGATGTTTTGAAGTTGAACGGAACATTACAAAACTTTCCTTATGTTATTATTGCTATCAATTATAATACGATTAATATTCATATCAATCAGCCGGTTCGCGTGTTCCAGATAAACCATATTTTTTTCTACGTAGAATCTGTAGAAACCTTAGAAAATTTTCTGAGGGGAGGGGTACAACTCCCAAACACCCTCCTAGTGACACACGGCGTAAAAGCGAGCTTGCTCCGATATTCCAGCAATGGAAACTTGTCAACCACCCGTTGAACGAATCGTCCGTTTGGGTTCGACAAAACCGACGATGGAACGGATAAAATAATCTGTGTACAAACGCAATCGTAGCGGAGACGGAAAGACGAATTCTGGACACACGAATGGGTACCCAGTCGTTTCATCACGGTATTGAATCGATTTCACATGCGCGTTATACATTTTCGTGTCACGGTTTCGAACCGAGTGGCAGGGCATCGAATTCAGTCATAACATTGTCGTCGAACAGCGCGTAGTGGCGTATGTGTAGTGCGTACTCGTATACGACTATAACCTATTCCATCGATTATAATGTATTATGCATTACAGAAACAAAAAAAAAAAAATAATAATAATAAACACGTCGACAGGTGTTACGTACACCGTAACCTTATGTTTAAAATCACTATGTATACGTTTATCACCGTAACGTTTCGTAGTCGTTTCCCTTTTAATTATTATTATTCGTTCGCCTTCGCGCGACCAGACAATACTCGTATACTCTATCCGCAAGCAGTACGCATAAAAAACTTCCTGTGCAAGATAATAACGATATCAATGGCGTATATATTTTTTTATATTACTGTTAAAAAAAAAAAAAAATTAAAAAAAAACTCTCATGGTAAACGCTGTATACGATGTACGCACACCCGTGGTAGTATAGTATACCTTGGTATATTTATACATATACATATATATACCGTTGGACGGTTTGCGCATTACAACGTGACAAACGGTGATTAAAAATGTATGTGTTTATACAGGTATACATGTGTGTATACGCAGACATGTCCATGGACTTTTCAACTTCGTATCACGCGTGCGCGCACGTGTATACCGTTTTATAATTCGCATTCGATTAATGTTATCCACTCAGAACGGAATCTCTCGTGATAAACGTAAAAAAAAGAAATATTCGTTACGCAAAGCCCGCAGCTCAATGTGTTATTGTTATTCTAATAAAAATTAATTATCACCGGTGTTTTTCTTATACGTACTGACGCACGCGTCTGGAAAACAGTGTTGGATACAAAATTGAATAAAAAATAAAACGCGACGTTCAGCTACACTACGCGTTGACGAAAAGAAAAATTAAACGCGCATTCAATGTCCTTCTGACAGGACGATCGATAGTACGCGATGTTGTGAGCCCGTGAATATTCGCCGCGGTGTAAGTTTTCGGCTGGTGTTGGACCTCCGGTCTCGTTCACGGTTTGATAATAATCATTATTATTCGATTTACCGCGTTACACGGTCGACAACGATCGGTACGCAATTCATTTTGCCGACAAACGATGAACATTAAACGTTTTCGTACAGATAGGCAGGCAGGTGCACTGCGAGCAGAGAAATGCTGCGTGCGAACGGCGAACGCGTCCGCGTTTCCAAAAAAGCAGCTTTCGACCGCATGCGTATGGAACGGCGCCTCGATTCGCGCGTGATGGCGAGGGTTGGTTTAGCAGAAGGAAAATACGACCTCCTCGGTGGCGAACGCAATAACTGCATTTCAAACGTGCAAGTTGCAAGCGCATCATTTGAACAACGAACAACGCAATTACGTACGACGACATGTGCACGATAAAGTTCGAATAACCCTTCCTCCTTATCCTCGTCCTACCACCCCCAGCATTTCACGGACAAAACCGCGTGCAGCTGACGACGATTCGACATTAGCTCTCGACGTGTAGTACAAACGTGCATACGTCGTACGTCACACGTCTGATATGTATGTTTATACGTGTAGAGGTTGACGTTGTAATTTATGGCCCACCGGATCGTCAAAAACATTAGGGGTTGGTGTCGTTTTGAACGGACGGGGGTACTTGGGAGTCGGATGGTAACACGATACACGTAATAACATGATCATTGATGATTTGATGACGTTTTAAAAGACATATGGCAGACAAGAATAGGCAGTGTTATGTTATGTCCACATTCATTTATCTAGATAGATATATTTTTATCTTTTATCTTATCCATATAAACGGAGAATAAGTTATCTGAGCCATTATCAAAGAAGAATAATGAAATCATCTAGACAAATTTGTCTTAATAAAATATAATTTTTAATATTTTTTTTAGATTCAGAGCGAAGTGAGGAGCCTATCGATTATAACGATAAATGATAATATTGTTACAATGACAACCGTGAAGTTGGCCCCCCACTTTGTCTTATCGACTTCAAACATTCATCAATATTTTGAAACTTATTTGGAATTAATTAGAATTTATTTTTCCGAATTACCTATAGTTTATACAGGCTACATACTTAAAAACAAATAGTAATAATAAATTAAAATTATGAGATTTAAAATTTATTAGTGCTAAAGGAAAATGATCTATCTAAAAGAAAACAAATCTAAAAATTGCAAAGTTGAAGTTTCAAAATTGTATTCCTTATTACATAATTAAATATTGTTTTTAGAAATCTGTTTTTCAATTAGCTAGAAAAATTAATTTAGATAACTAGTATCTCTAATTTTCATAAAATACCACAGAACATTTTAAAATAGAATGTCTTAATGATGAGTAAACAATTTTTTTTACTATGGAAATATAATATTTTAACTCTGGACTACATCTGCCCTTAATTTATTGCTATGCTCATTAGAGAGGGACCTAGGAATATCTGAAATTAATATTTTGAAATTAGGAAGCAACATTTTTGTAGCTGTCAAAATTGTCCTATTTATGTAAATATTTACATCATTGAAACAACTATAGCAACTTGAAAAAATGCTATCCTTTGTCGCCCAGGCATTATCAATTTTGACTGTTTGTTGGTTCATCATGACTTCATACGGCATTAAACTTTAACATTACTATTTTAAATTATTAATATTAATACAAATTTACGATAAGTATAGTAAAATTAACTCAATATCTACGAACGTATAAAATATAACAGTAAGTATCCTTCAATGTTTTCGAACACAAACTATAGTGCATTATGTATAATTAATATAAATCACATTATTCTTAGGTTATATTATTTTGTCATATAATTTGATTTAACACATTAAATCCAGGCCGTTAAAGGAGTCCATAAAACTGTTATTTTTATAAATTTATATTTGTATGGTTCAACAAACGTTTAGGTAAAAATTAAGATTTGCTCGTAAGTTATATTTAGGTTTATTACAAAAAATACGTTCTAAAAGAAGGAAAAGGAAACAATTTATTTTGCCACTAAATAATTTAGAGAGAGATATATAAGTATTTTTACGACGAGTGGATAATAGATTAATATTAAGCTTGCCCTCAACCGAAAAACTTTTTTTTTGTGAAAAGGTATGAAGTTCCAAATTTTGAAAACTTGGTTTCAAATAAACCCAAATTAGTTCCAAAATATTGGTGAAGGTTTGAAGTCGATAGGACAAAGGGGGTGGGGGTTAAGGGGGCAGTAGACGATGCAAAAAATCACGTAAAACAGGTCATAAGCTAGACAAAACTGTGGGACTTGGGTTTGACGGATTTTAATTTTAAAAACAAATTAAAAATCTTGAACATCTTAACTAAAACTTGTTCGAAGGAATTTTTATTATTACAAAAATGAATGGCGTACTTAAATACTTAAAATACATAAATTTCTGATTTTTTAAATTGTCAATATCTTATTATTTAATTACAATATAGAAAATTCCTCTGGTCAATCCCTAGCTTACATAGTGACTTAATTAAATCTGTTTTCAAAATTTAAATTCATCAATCCCAAGTCTC